ATTGATAAATTTAAAATTTCAGTACAATCATGTGATTAAAAGGAAACGTATATTTTAAGGGATGTAACAAGGGATGCAAATCAATTTTTCTCCATCAAATAAATGATAAGAAGTCGATTTTTCTGGAGGAAGAGATATCGTTCAAGTAACTTCTCATTCCGAATAAATCTTGTTTGCCAAGGCTCGACTATATTTACTTTTCTTTCGACGGCTCCTCGTGTCGCATGCGATCGAGGGATGTATTATTCAAATCCTGTATGCCTCGCGCCACCTCGTATAAGTACGATAACATAAACTCGATGTAAAATACGCGGTTGAAATCAATGACGGATTACAAAGTGGCGAAACTGATAAATATTCCCGTTGCATTACGGGAATGTCAAGTGAAGATAATTGAAAGCAGAAAGTTGTAATTAATCTTGTCCAAATGACAGTGCTTTTCTTCTGAACCGTTGCAATCGATTTGATTTATTTTCCATGATATTGCAACATTATACATGAAAAAATTGTATAACACCGATGTCGAGGCGGAGATAAGTAGAATCGAATAATTTTTTTATCGTCGAACAATGATTATATCTCTTTAGAGATTTAAGCAAAATAAGATTTCTTTTTCTTGTTTAGTATATCTCATAAATCCCAATGTTTCAGATGAATATCAATTACTTTGATTTCTTTTTCTATATGTACACGATGAACCAGCAATTATTATATAATTATTTCGAAAACCATAATGGTTGAAAAAGTATTTTTTTTAACAGAAAGAACAGAGTTCTTTTTTTGGTAAAGTCGTTTAGGGGATATGAAGATTAAGTATCCTACTTAAAAAAAAAAAAATTGTTAAGATAGAGGGTCAAAAAATTAATAATTCTTATGATATTTTAAACTTTAAATGAGATCCTTCATATTTTTCAAAGCACCTCACCTACAAAAAATATATTATCATCAGATAAAAGCTCTCAGCGAACATTTACAATATTGCAATATAAAATGTTTAATAAAATTTTTTAATCAGCCAGAAATGCAATCTTTGGTGATGATCGAGCGACAGAATATTATAGGATGCACGGTCGCGTTCTTCGGTGCACTCATAAATGATTTTCTTAGAAAAGAAAATTGAAATCCAGAATTAATTACGTTGTACGGTTAAGGCGGTCACAATGGGCCGCAATAAAACATTCAGGTACAAAGTAGAACAATAAGGACGAAGTACAAAGGCGCGTCGTACAATTAGATTTGTGAACAATTTCCACCTTCCGCTTTCACCCCCCTCGGACCGCCCTTCATCGTACACCGCAAACTTGCCGGCACCCCCGGCCTCGTTTTCACCACTCTTCCAGGTAACACTTTCCGGCGTGTTTCCATGATTATTTCGAGTCGTTTGAAAATACTCGGTGCCGATTATTGTGTCCGGATAACAATCGCGACCGATTGCCGCCAATATAACTTTCGCTCTAAATATCGCCGTTGTACGGTTATAAAACATGGTAATTTTAGTAGATTCCGGTTTTTCCTCGTTTATTTCCCTAACGAACGGTGATTTTTATTACCCCTTATTGAGAGCTCTCGCGTAAATTACAATTCACGCGAGCGTTGCTTCGGCTTTTACCTGACCCGGTTCGACCGTTCGCCCGTAAAGGAAACGAGGAACAAATAGCCGTCTAATTTAGTCGACGTCGTGCAACGTAGCTTGTATCTACTTGTATAATCCTGTGACAATAGGGGTGATCGTAAAATTCAAAGATTCGACGTGTCGTGCTACGCTCGAATATCTGCAATAAATTTCTTTTGAGAGAGAACATTTTTGCATTGTCTGTTTGTGGATAAATACGACTTTGTTCATTGTACTTTGTAAGCAATAAAAACTGATTAAAACTGTAACATCGGTGATGGTAAATTTATATAGAGCTATAGAAACAATTTTCAGTACGCTTATTACTAGTTACAGCTGGGAATTTCAATTTTATTGAACATTCAGTTATTTATTTTCTATTCTCTAATGGCAGTAATTTTGTGTTTATTCATGATAATAATCCTTTGTTGCATAATTAGGTGCAACAAAGTAAAAAGTAGTATTCGAAAATGATGTTTAATTTTAAAAGAAAATTTGTGAATATATTTGCAACGATTCTACAAGAAAGGTGCTAAAAGAAACATTTATAAAACTGAATAATAACTTATAATTCCGTACATATGGTGTTATATTCTTGATACAAAGCACCGTTATAAATGTAAGCAGTAAAGATTTATAATATGTTTTTCAAAGGATAAAATAATTACTTCCTTGACTTTAAATTAATGATACTCTGTGCAAGCTTAAAAATGCTCCATTCTCGAAGGATTAAAAGTTAAATAAACTCACCTGCAGGTCATAAAAAAATTTCCAACAGAATCTCCACAAAATCTCGTCCCATACATCTAAATCTCTGAAGTCCGTCCCAGTAACCCCATTTTCACGAACTAATTACCCGCTTCTCGAAAGGTGTCATCCTTTAACCATCCAACTATCCTGTACTTCCATCATCGTCCTACAACAATCTTGCTCCAAAAAGGAAGATCTCGATTCTTTAACCCTTTCATTAAATTTCAAAATGGCACAGCTACCACTACCCAAGGTTTAATATGAAGACATACGAGTACAGTTTCCAGCAGACGACCGTGAGGAAAGGGTTAAGGTGACTCGAAGTTCATCAGGATCACTCGCAACTCTTTTCTATAGCATTAACAATTTCTAAACAAGCAGAATCGTGTCAGACGGTATAATCGATTCGAGATCAAAGGATCCGCGACAGCTCTCGGTCGACTGACGTTTATCCATCGCGACAGCACGTGCCGGTTCCTGGTCGGCCACACACGGGCGAAATTTCTTTTTTGCATCAGGTGGCCACGGTGCAACGTAATAAACATATTCATAGGTGGAATAAAGTGGCGCGAGAGGAGAGGAGAGAGTGAGACGCGGTTCGTGTCTGTTGAAGAGTGAGCTGGACGAGAGGGGCGTGAGAGCAGAGTTGTCGCATTCGGTATGCAAAGTGCACGGGCCACGGAGAACCCGCTTCGTCGCGTGGAAAAAAAGGTATCATAAAAAAATGCAAGGTTACCCACATTTTTTTTTATTCTCCCCGAAGCGATGAACAGAGCTGCGCGGCTGTTGCGGGGTGCCGTCGATCGAGGGAATCGAATCAACCGGTGAAGGCGCAGGACAGCCGCCACGGGGAAAGGGAGGAGAGTTCGGTTATCGGTGAACAATACCGATGCACGTCTTCCTTTTTTTTTACGCAGACACCTACGACAAGGAGGCTCGTGGCCGCTTTGAACCTTTTAAATTGTTAATTCCTGCCTCGAGCAATTTTACGTATCGGTAATTGAAGAGTCACGACTACCCTGTTATCAGAAAGGTCTGTAAACCATATGGTATATATGAAGAAAAAAGAAAGAAAAGAAAAAACAAAATAAATTATTCAGAATGTGTATATTATGCAAAATGTGCAAATTAAGATAAAAAGTATATTCTGTTGGAGAAAAAATATTTTATAAAAACATAAGTTTGCATAATCATCCGCAGTTTAATTAGTAGCTACGATGCCTATATCTTGCAATAAGCGAAGCTTATTAGGAAGCGCGCTAATCAGCGGAACGTGTTTATGATATTTATTTAAATTTCTGTAACAGTCGAATCCTGTAAGGTTTCCCACGTAAGGATACCGCGAAGGACACGTGCCGATGTGCAGGACTTTCAAGGATAACGCGACGAATTTCGTAGCAGCCAGCTTTCGATCCGTTGCCGAAATTCGAAGAGCTTCGACGAAGAAACGACGACGTGTCCTTCGCGGCCGAACGAATCGAAACTGGAACGAAGGAAACAAAGGTAAGCGTGACAGCGGCGAGGAAACGACGCTGTTCGAGCACGAAAATTCCAGCGAATGGTCGATGGAGCTCCGAAAAATCTCGTCGGATAAAGTTTCGTGTAGTAAGGACAGCGCCGAAGATACGGACGCGCAAGGATTCCTGTGCCATGCGCACTTAGCCGCGTCCTTCTCTATCCCTTCCGATCGGATGAAGATGAAGAAGACGAAGAAGAAGAAGAGGCACAAACAGAAGCGGGGGCTGAGAGGGAAGAGGGTAGAGAAGAAGAAGAAGAAGAACAGATCCACGGTATTGGACGAACGGAGAGAGAAATTGAAAGGGAGAGAAATAAAAGACAAAGAGGGAAAAGATTCGGGGTCCAGCAGGATTCGTGGTCCTTTTAGGCGAAGGGATGACAGAAGATCGAAAAGGGCCGAGTGCGAGAAAGAGAGAAGAGAGTCGACGGAATCGTGGATTGTAACAGAAAGGCACAGAGGGGCAAGGAACGATCTGGTGGGGGCAAGAAGCGCTCGACGTCTCAAATTTGGTTGGTTGTCTCGAGTTATCCGCCTCTCTCTCGATCTCCCTCCTTTTCTCTAACTTTCTCTGTCTCTCAGCAACGAGGTGCACGGTGAAGGTAGAGAAGGCATGGAGGAAGGTGCTAGGTGGGAAAGGGAGAAAACGTGGTAGGATAAACGAAGAGGCGCTTCGGTTTGAAGAAGAAGGAAGGTAACAGATTGAAGGGAGAAAGGGAACGAAAATTGGTAGGTTAAAGGAGGATAGGTGTTATTGCTGTAAGCCTGTAGGAGAGAAGGGTGGGAGATGCTTGGCGCTGAGAGAGAAGGAACTCTAGAGGAAAGGTTGAAAGGAGAAAGTCGTATCGGTGGACTAACATTAAGAACGATGAAGGAGGGAAAATGGGAGGAGAGGGAAGTAGCAGGTAGGAGAAAGTGGGAAAGAGAAAAGAGTATTAGGTTGGTGGCAGCAACGAAGAGTAAGAGAGGAGAGGTCGGTGTAAGGGAGAGAGAGATAGTCGGTAAGGTTAGAAAGAGTCGACAGGAGGGCAAGCAAGTGACGGTATAGAGGGGGCGGCGGAGAAGGCTTTGGAAGGTAGGGGGAGAGCAGTGCCTTGGCGCGAGCTCGAGGACTCGAAACTCCGGAATTCCAACCGACAGAACAGTGCCGGCGGTCGTACGACGCGGGTCTAGAGAGTGTGTGAATAGGATAGAGAGAGAACGAGAGAGCGCGCGCGCGAGAGAGAAAGAGCAACCCGCGGCTCTGGGGGAGGGGCGAGGAGGAAGAGAGAGGGAGAGGGACACGAGGTTGAGGACGATCGCTAGCTATTTACAATCGGAGTTCGAAGGATAAACCGCTCGTCTCGTGGCCGTGTCGGAGTCTCACGTTCTTTCCGGTGCCGAATTCGAACGCAGAAAATCCTCGATCCTCGAGAAAATTATCGAGTGTAAAGAGAAGGAGGAATCGAACAGTCGATTGCGGGTGGACAATTTTGATTCGCGGACAGTGACGGAATGGACACGAAGTCAGTGAGCAAAGTGAACAGTGATAAATCGTGATGACCAAATGATTCGGAAACGAAGAGTTCCGTTTACGATCGTTGGACCTAGTGAAATCGTTCGTCGAGTAGCCGTTAGTTCGAGAAACGGGTAACAGTGACAAGATCGAGCGATCTGATCGACATGTAAATCGCACGCGTATCACCGTCGTTTACTTTTTTTTTTTTCATCCTTTGTTTACTTTCGTTTGTACATACGTGTTCCGTTAGTGAAGTCCCGAGCCGAAGCTGTACATCGAAGATCCTTAGTTTTTCGGCCACGGCGTCGGCGGACATATTCTGTTGAAGGGAAGCCGGTTCCTAGCCGCGTTTCGGGCAATCATCAGCCATATATCATTGTCGTCATCGTCGGCAGACCGTCGAGGTGAGGGCGACGATGCCGTACACAGTGATACGCTCGACGTCGCACCAGGTGGAGCGATTGAGGTTGATTTGGACTTTCGTACCTGGCGTACGTGCGATCATATGATAAATGTAGAACACGTTGTATCCCGCTTTTTTTCTTTTTTCCTTTCTTTTCTTTTCGTTCGGCCTCCCCTCTTCTAAAAACCGTCCTTTCCCCGCAAATGTTTCCTCGTCAGCTCACGTGACTCCAGTTTCGCGCCTCTTTTCGAGTCATCGTCCATGTGCTGGCCGCGAGGAAAACCGTATCGGCGCTCGTCGACGGCTCACAGGAGGGAGAAACGAGACGTCGCGACTTGATGCGCGTGTTGCACACCGTTCGATCCGCGAGAACCGCGTCGCACGAGTTCTGTGTTCGTTTTCGATATCGAGAAAAGTGAGACAGAAACGAGTACCGCGACACCCACCGGGACAAAAACTGTTATTCGAAATTTCGCGCGCGCAATAGCGCGTGAACCGCGCGTGTGGGTGTGTGCAGAGCACCTCCGGTTCTGTGCAACGTGTGTGCCGATCATCATCTTTGTCCCTCGTTTACCGGACAGAGTGCAATTATCGAGGGATAAAACGAAAGAAAGAGGTGCACGCGGCTTTCTATCCTCGGAAAGATACGCGTCTAAACGAGACAGCGGGGCAGAGACTAAGAGACAATATGAGTGAAATGACGAGTGTCGAGCAGCAACAGCAACAACAACAGTACGTAGGCGGCAGTTCGAATCCGGAGCACCATTGCAAGGACTGCGGCCTTTATTTCGAAAGCGATAAAAGTCTCGAGGTGCACCTGCGCTACCACCAGGAGAACCTGCTAAGTCAGTGGGCGAGCCAGGCACAGCAGGAGGAGAGTAACAACAACAACAGTAAGGCCGGCAATCACAACAGTCACGTGGGCGTAAAACGCGAAAGCGTGACCGCGCCGGCGGACTCGAGCGAGTCATCCTCGAGACCGCCCTCTCAGGATCCCACGTCCTCTCAACAATCGCAACAACAACAACAACAACACTCGCAACAGCAGCAGCAACAACAGCAGCAGCAACCGCAGCAACAACAGCCTGGTGGTCAGAATTACAATCATTTCCAGGCATCGATGTTCGGCGAGGCCAATTATTTCATGCAGAACGAACCGGCCTATATCTTACCTCATCACTACTCACCGCCGCGAGAAGACGCGCAAAACAATGGTGGGAGTAGTGGTGGAGGTGGAGGTGGAGGTTATTCGCGGTACCATCCGTATCAACATCAACAACACTTTCCACCGGAACGCACCAGTTCCGTCAGTTCCACCAGTCCGAGAAGTCCGCCAATTCAGTGTGACAAGTGCGGTGCTGTTTACGAGGACGCTAATCAACTGGGTGAACACGTACGAACGAATCATTCGAATTCACCCAGTGGTTATCCTGGCCAACAGCAGTACCAGCAACTTGGAAACAGTCCTCAACAACAAAATCAACAGCAACAGCTGCACTCGTCGCCGCCGCAGTCCGGTCAGCAGCAGCAGCAGCAACAGCAGCAATCTGGTTACGATTATAATGGCGGGCAAACGATGAAAACGGAACTGAAGCAGGAACCAGAGGAGCAGGCCGAAATTCTTGATTTGGACTCTCACAAGGTGCAAACTCACAGGTACGAGGAGGAGCTGATGAGGCTGCACCAACAGCAACAGCAGGAGTTGCAGATGCAGATGCATCAGCAGCAGGTAATGCAGCAGCATCAACAGCAGCAGAGGGCTGGATCTCATTCGGTGAGTTCTATGCTGGGCTGGCCACCGGCCGCTCAGCCTCACGATTATCACCCTGGATTATCGCCCATGGGTCCCATGGACAGCGTTTCGCCGCTCTCAGATCAGGGTCAATTCATGCGTGGGCAACATATGCCTGTCGAACCGCCGCGACATCCAGGTTCCCCTATCATTACCAGCACGCAACCGATGCCAGGTCATCAGATGCCCGGTGGTCTTCTACAGCAACCACCGAAGCCTCCACCTTTGGCTAATCAATCGTGGAAAAGTAACGAAGCGCGGCGGCCAAAGACCTACAACTGCACCGCGTGCAACAAGTGGTTCACCAGCTCGGGACATCTGAAAAGGCACTACAATACGACGCTGCACAAGAACGCGGTGAAACAAAGCAATCAACCGGATCCAGCGAACATGCCGATCAGTGCTCATCATCATCCTGGTAGAGATAGTCATTCTGGTGGTGGCAGAGGCGGTGGACCATCCAGATCGCCAGAGTTATCTTCTTCCGGGAGTCCCCCAAACTTGATGGCAGGTCCCTCGGGCGAGGCGGCGAGGGGCCTGCTCCACACGCCCACCACTCTCTACAACAACAACAACAGCAGCAACAACAACAACAATTCCAACCACAGCAACAGCAGCAGCAGCAGCGAGTCTTCAGCGGCTCTAACCCAACAGCAGCAGCAGCAGCAACAGGCGCCTTCGGGGGTACACTTGGGCTCCACAATGGTACCGCCGCTCAATTCGCCGGCGCAATCGCCACTGGCGGCTCACCATCAGCAACAAATGGGTTCTCCATCCCCCCAGCTGGGCCATCAGCAGCAGCAACAGCAGCTTCATCACCTGCCAATGGGTTCACCGTCGGGCCAACTTCCGGTCCACCATCCCATGAGTTCGCCCATGTCACCCATGCATCCACCGCCGGCGCCCCACCTGAGTTCACCTTCGCCAATGGGCTCGTCCCACCCACACCACATGAGTTCGCCGTCTCCCATAACGCCGGGCTCGGTCCACCCAGCAATGGCTTCGCCCACGGCGATGGGGGGTACTACGATGCCTCATCAGCCGTACCCAAACGCCTTGCCCCCCCACGTTACAACTACTACCAACATCCCGGGCCTGCTGGAGTCTATCACCATCCAGCTAACTACTACTGGTAATGAGATGCCTTTACCGCTCTCCGGTCAATCTCAACACCAGCAGTCACAACATCATCATCACCATCAACAGCAACAGCAGCAGCAGCAGCAGCAACAACAACAACAACATCACCAACAGCAGCAGCAGCAGCAGCAGCAACAGCAGACTCAGGATGTTTTACCCGGTTTCGGGACCTTCAGCAATCATCAGAGGCCCCTGCCGAGTTTCACTCAATTCAATGTGACCGGGTTTTTGATAGGCCACAATCAACCGCAGGCCGTTAACGTGGGGGGGCTAAGTCCGGAGGAGAACGCATCTCCTCACGAAAGATCGTTCGATTCGTCTGAATCGAAGTACGATCCGTACAGAAGTTCGCCGCCTCGATACGAGTCCCTCACGAACATGGACGTGAACATGCATCCAAATACCGACGGGATGATTATCAAACAATACGAGGTCCATACTCATAATCATCACATGTCGAACTCGATTCATCAATCGCCGGACAATCTCGAGGCGAACAACAATCTGCCGCAAGCGATTCAAGCGAAGGAGGAATTGAATCCGAACATCGGTAGATATTATCAGAAACATCAGAAATCGAAAGTAAACTCTGTGATCACGAAGGAACATCAGGTGACCAGTACCAACACCGGTTCGCATTACATTTCCCAGGACGGTTTTCACAAGTGCATCGAGTGCGACAAGGTATTCAACAAGGCTTGCTACCTGACGCAACACAACAAGAGCTTCCACTCTGGCGACAAGCCGTTCAAATGCAATCAGTGCGGTAAGAGGTTCCCCCTCGAGTACCTGCACGCGGAGCACCTGCAGAAGCACGCCGGTGACAAGCCGTACAAGTGCGAGATATGTCCGAAGCAGTTTAACCACAAAACTGACCTCAGGCGGCACATGTGCCTCCACACTGGCGAAAAGCCGTACGCCTGTGATAATTGCGGCAAGGGATTCATCAGGAAGGACCACATGATGAAGCACCTCGAGACGCACAAAAAGAAATCCAACAACCATAACGTCCATTTGCGGGCGTGATTCGAAGGGAGGAGAAGTTCGAACCACCGAGGAGCGAGCATCTACTGGTCCCGCATGAACACGGCTGTTATCCGATGATCTTCGCCCTCGGACTTCGTGATTATCAATCGAAATAAGGTGAGATCGTTGGTCGTCGAACATCACGACGGCCGGCTCGTAAATAATCGACCAGATTATTTAGGTTCGGCTTCTCGATCGAACTTCGTGCTTTATCGATCAGAGACACTGGGACTCTAGTGTACAACCGTTCGATCGTGATCAAATTTGTAATTTATTATTCATAGTTCTCGTTTAAGGCAGTCCGAACAATCTCGTATCATCCGATTCCCGCCCAGATTCGAAGGAAAAGAAAAGAAAAAATGTTCTCCCATCTCCGTCTGATTCGACAAGAGAACGACATCCTTTCGCGTTCAACCGTTGTTCACGAAGAAAGTATATCATCTCGCGTTAATATTCTATTGATATGATAGAGATCATTGTTTTTTTCTATTTTCTTTTCGCTCGGTGCTAAAGAGTACGTCTCGCGAATAACAACGGTGCTCGGAAGGATCTTGGTTTTTTGCTCAACGGTTTAATATATTTATTGTTTAACAACCTCGAATCGGCTTCGAATTTAGCACCTTTCCTAAGAAGATTGTGTATATTTGAAGATCTTGATATTGAAAATCGAATCGCGATTCTTGAAACGACGAAATCTGTCAATTTTTTGGTAAGCATTCGATAGATGTTTCTCGTTTAGAACATCGCGAGTCGCGATACACGGAGTCGATCGTGAATGATCGACAGGAGAACTGTCTTTTTTTTCTTTGTTTCTTTTTTTCGTTCTTCGGTCGACTGCTCGACTCGATGTACCGCGACTTTCGTTCGGGACAAATTCACCTGTCGGATCGTTTCCGAATGCACAGTTTTCCTGGGAAAGTCGAAGCAACCGCGCGCACATGAACAATAATTAAAATCCGAAAAAAGAACGCGCAATGGAACGTTTTCCGCTGCGACGTTGTAACTTCGAAGCTTATCGATTGTACAAAATATGTTAAATGTATAGGCGTATAATTATTCTAATTATTATTATCACTGTAATTATCGAATTCAATTGAATATCGTCTAGAAAGTGATTACGAAACCTATTCATAATACTCGTATTTTATAGCGTACATAGCATACTTTATCGAGGGAGAACGAGAGCAAAAGATGATTTAAAAAAAAAAATCATGTTTGATAGGTAATCGTGAAAAGGCGCGGCTATCGAATCACCGTAACATTTAACAATCGTCGTTTAGTCTTCTCTTTATTTAACATGATCGGAAATATTTCTATTATGTTTTCTTTCTTTTAGAGACGGTCGAGAGGCGAATAAAAAATTCATTAATCAATTTAGAATAGACGTATAGAATAGTTTGACTTAACGACGAGCTTCTCGAAACGTTCTCTTTACATTCCTAATTTCTTTTTATACATTCCAATTCTCGTGGTTCGATGAGGAAAATTAGTATTTTCAAAAAAAGAATTTTTAAAAAAATTGAATTGTCGCGTCTTTTCTAAACGTTAAGATAGCCTAAGCATTCGATTTGTACGTTGCCCGGAATGAATCTTGCTCGTGTCGTTAATCACGCTTAACGAAACGCGCACTTCGCGGTTTGATTCACTTTGTATATTTCAATCTAACGTTTCCGTGAATCAGGAATAATTTTCAGGACGCGTGCAGAATATTTGTTTAATGGGTTATTAAATCGTTTCGGTATTTCGTTCAGCGTGGTGCCTCTTAATTGCGCGTCACCCGTCGCATACGATCAATTAATGCTCGATTAATTGCTCTGGAAGCGCAAAACGAGCCAATCAACGAGGATAGGATCGCGTCTCTCATCTCTCGCGACACGAGCGAATATTCCCTTCGCGCTGCGCACAGCTCGTTACATTTACACGTATACATATAAACACAGGCACACATTGAATATACGTTGACCTCGCTTTAATAAATTCTACAATGTTGTTTACGCGTAATTATTTCTGTTGATGAACAACGTTTATCGGTTTTAAAAGTTTCATGCTTGTTCGAGAAATACACACTTGCCGGTCAAAAGTGTGGAATCATCTGTTATAAAATTTATTACATGTGAACAATTTCCATTCGGTGTTATTTGGTACTTTGCAAATAAAAAATAGTAATTCATAATATCTTCAATAATGCAATTAGAAATAATAAAATTAAAGAATCTTCAACGTTTTCCAAATTATAGTCACAACTTTTTAAATATAAAAATTTCTCAATATACTACTTTTATTTGGTTTTATAGTCTACCTTTGAAATTACAATTAATTCTGAATAATATGGTCCCATACTTTTGATCGATAGTGTACATTTGATCATTAGTTTCAAGTCACTTTGTTCCTGTTCAATTGTTATTGTTGTGAAAACGATGTTCTTAAGTAACGTTGATTAAAATTGTTCACTCGTTGTATTATTGTATTTTGACGGATAAATCCTCTTGTTTATTATTCTTTCTTTTGTTTTTCAATGTTCCATTTCCGTGTTACACTGAATCGTTTGTTTTAAATCAGAGACGAGGTCCCTTTTGATCATGTTTCACTGCTCCAAATAATTATTACTTTATTACATACTAATTAACATGTTTATTGCACGATGAAAATTTCTATGGTATTAAATATACAGTATTATTTTATCTCTGTTACGTAATGTGTTTCTCGAGAATGTGACTCATGATTTATTATCGATTATTTCGAGCAGTGCATCAATAATTGTACATAAAAATATACACCAACACACACGCACACGTCGACGTCCTTCCTCGAGTTTCGTATTCTTTTGTTTTTTGTTTTTTTTGTTTAATTATTTCATATTAAAACTAGAGAAAGAAGAAAAGATTGAAAGCGAGAAGAAAAAAAGACGATAAATTATATAGCACTCTTACCATTTTTACTACGTAATATGAACAGCCAGAACAGACTACCTCAGAGTTCAGGAATTTAACGATGAATGAAAGGAAGAAAGAAAAGATGAAAGAGCCAATGCAATAATAGTAATGTTATTAAAGAGGAAAGAGTATAGGTGAGCGCGCATCCGTGCGGGCGGAACGACGTACTTCTCCATATTTTTCCTTCCATGCTCACCCTTGTTATTTAATAGATAGATTTATCAAACTTCAAATTTCAATCGAATGATCTCAGAAAAAAACTTTAAGCAATAGTTTCTCATAAATCTTTCTACCATATCGTAGTAGCTCTTAACACTTTCATGGCTTTGATACATTAATTTTTTATCCCAGCATTTATTATTTTATTTCCATTTACCGCATCATATTTATAATTGTAATATCGACAAATTTTTCTCACAGACCATATTTATTCAGTAATCCGTTTCTCAAATTACACGAGCTATTAACTTCATGAAATATGCAGCCATCAAAGTGTTAGAAGGGAAAACTGCTCAAATAATCCACTAAGATTTTAATGAGCTTATGCATATTGATACAGTGTTTTACAACAAATATTCATCCATGTAATTTTAGCCATAGACAATTAATAGATGAAATTCCGGTAGGGTTTATCTATTTCACTGTAACAGCTGTTTTCAAATAATAATTGTAAGTTGTTTCATACTCGTGAAATTCTATCGAAAATTTAATATTAAATATTTGTTCACGCATTCACAGTGGTAAATTTTTTCGAGGATTTATCTGTTTGGCGGTACGAGGCAATTGTGTTTCGTGGAATATCTATCTTTCACAGGCTCGATTGGTGAAACAATAACGTTGAAAAATTTCGAAAATATTAGTTTAGCACATAAGCTGATATTTAATGAAAAATTAACCATACGGGTCCTGTATCTCTCGTACCGCAGGGAATGTGTTAATCTTTTCATTACTGTTCTATTGGAAAACGTTTCTCTACGTTCTTATATTAAATTATCTAATTCAGTATATAAAATATTATTTTTTATAGTAAATTATCCAATTTAATATATAAGCGTAAATAAACTATGATTATTTCACTAGGAGTACATATTTTTAATTTCTATTTCACTCGTAGTAACTGAAGGGTTAAATTAATAATCGATAGAAAAAAATTCATAATAGCATAATTTATTAGACTACAAAAGCTAATTAAAATCCAAGTGGATTATTTGCAAAGCTTAGCAATAATTTAATATTTAACATCATTTTTATAAAATAGAAAAGTAGATATAAAAACTGCTCTCTTTCCTCTTTGCTTTTGCCGCAAAGTTCCTCGAGTCGCCCGCCGGTCGTAAAAAAAGCGTGTAATAGAACATTATACATTATAGATTCTAATATAAACAAAAATAAAAGCGAAATAGAAGTGAAGACTTAGGTGAGGAGCGAACACAGAGAGAGTCGACGATGAAGGGAGGGTTGTAGAGATCGATGTACGTTTTAGAGACATATCAAACAGTATTACTGTACACTCAGTTTTATTATAAATAATCGTAAATTAAAGAAAAAGAAAAAGAAATGAAAGAAGAAAGAGAGATGAATGGTGAAGCGAAGGGTGAAAACTTGTAGTGAGACGAACGCGTTAGAGGGGGGCGAGATCGATCGAGAATGATCAAGAATATAATACATATTTCCGACGTCATATCATTGTCAGATATTCGTATTGCGAACGTGTTTCAGCGAGAAAAAAAACTAATATATGTGTTTCGCAGCCGTGATATATGGGCATAAAGAGATTAATCGAAAGGAAAGAACAAAAGCAATCAACAGAATTTTTCGTTTTTTCGATGCGTGAGAGGGAGAGAATGGTGAAAGAATGTGTAGAATAAAAATTACGAGATCTAACACAATGGGCATTTACCTGCGAAACAAACGATATAAATATATAAATATATATATACATGGTGATTTTGCGAGCGACGACGAAGCGGCGAATAACTTTCATTCTCGTTTCTTTTTTTTTTGTAGATTTGTTTTCGAACGACAAGACGCGTTTCGCTTGTTTCTTGTATTATTATTATCGTCATTATTATTATATTATTATTATATATTACGAATATTATTATTATTGAAAAAGAAAAACGCGCATCGTTGGTATTTTTCACTCGTTCTGTGAGCGCGTTTTTGGTGCGGCAGCATGTTTGTAATTGTAAAATAATTGTTCCAGCACGTAAGTGCAAAATTATTATATCTATATTATATATATATATTATATATATATATACATATGTGTATATATATACACACGGTACCAAACTGTCGTTGGTTGTGCCAAAAACATGGAAAAAAAAGGGGGATGAAATAGAAGGTGAAGAAAAGATGAGATGTAATGGAACCTTGTGTGCTTCCCTTCACGTGTAATTCTAATTTTGCGGGCATTTCACATAAGTACGAAGAAAAGAAAGGTGACGAAAGAATTTTATGGAAAAAGAAAAGATTATAAATAATAATTCTTGAGCGTGAGATGCAGAGTATTCGTGTTTGGATGAATGAACGAATGAAGATACGTATGCGTGGCGTGTGTGTTTGAGAGAAAGACGTTCGAGATCAAAGAGAAAGATAAGGAAAGAAAGGGAAAGTGGAAGAAATTTTTATCCGGTAATAACAAGTATTTTCCGTGCACACACCCATTCCTCGTTTTGTGCCATAATAATCGATGAAACTTGTAAGGGGGTTAAAAGATGGAGAACGCGTGCAGTGTGGGTGTTAAAAGAGAAAGAACGATGTTTATATATTATATGTATACAAATATAAGGCGCGATAAACAGGGCGGAAAGGAGAGAGGAAAAACAAAGAATGGAATTATTGTGCGACGATGTTTGTTGTCCGTTCGATGTAGAATGCGAGCGAAAAGTCCAGCGTGAAAGCGAAAAAAACACCGATGCATCATAGTAATAACGCTCATTGCGACGAAACGCGGTTTTTGTTCCTTCCTTTTTTTTACATTTTTTTTTTTTTTCAATCGTACATCGTACATGTTTTCTTTCTCCTGTTTGCGATACACAGGCCGATACGTCTCGACGTAAGATGACGGATAGAGTAAAAGAAAATGAGAGAGATAGAGAGAGATCCTATGAAGACGAAGAGAAGTATAGTATTTACAACCTGTATTATTTGATACGCGTTTAATTTTGTTTTTATAAATATATTTTATTTCTCAAGAACCTTGATTTTTCGTTGTTAACATTTCCATTCTTGTATCCTGATATATTTTTCTTAGTCTTTCATCCCCCTTCTACGATCTTTCTTTCGTTTTTCAATATTTTTCCAGAGAGTTTGTGAGATTGAAACGTTTATTATTAGATTTTCTCGATTCGTGGTTCGATTTTTATTTAACCCTCGGACGGCGGACCCTGGAGGGAGCTCTAATTTTTATTTAACTCTGTATTTCATATTACCTTCTTTTTATAAATTTTACACTTCTTTTTAAAATTCTTCTTTCAACATATGAAACTCTTTTATTTAAAAATGATACATTTAAATTTAGTTTAATATTCTTGCGTACGTTTTGTAAGTTTGAATCACCATAGACTTAAGTTCCGCTGTTCAAGGGTTAATACCGGAGTACACGGGCGTGCGTGATTTTTTTCGCGAACACATACAGCAATCACAGGGATTCGTTTACGTATCACCCTGTCCAGCATGGTATTTCGTCCACGCCCCCGTCGTGCCTCCTGAAAATCCCTCATAATATTCCTCCCCCTGGACCAGCCAGCCATCAAACCTCTCGTCGCGTACTCGTAATCTTGGGCATTCTGTAATTTAGTAAATTGTTGCGGACTCGTTCGATACGAAATCGCTCGATTCGCGAACGTCTCGCCGATTGTTTGAAACAGCTTAGACTCGATACGGATAAGTAACTTTCAAAAGGGTTACCAGTAAGCGGTATCAAAAATCCAATATTAATTCCAAGTAGCATTGATAATGAATTAATTTTGAAAAATACCAAGTAAAAAATTTGAATTGAAAAATTAAACTGAAAAATTTAAATTAAAATCAAATTTTGTGGAAAATTGTAAAATAAATCATTTATCTGTACCGAGGCTCAAGCTTTTAGTTCAGGTATGTTTCGATCGCGTAGAAAAGCAGGAGATCTATTTCTTAATCAACGAACGGTAGAGAAGTCGTAACTACGAGATGTCTGGTAAAAGGCGAGTCGAACGCGAATCGCTAGTTACGGGGAGCAAAGATCGATGATCGAGCGTTTGATACAACGAGATGATTTCATGGGTGTTCGACGTTTATCGAAGGAGAAGCGCGATCGTTGATTTGTTCGGTTGGAAAACTTTTGCTCCTCGTAGATTTAGCGAGTCCCATCATTGTTAGACTTAGGCAACATCTACCTGATGACGAAGCAATATATTGATGCGATCTATCTACGATTTATTAAGATGACAGTGATGAGGGTGAGAAATAAGCATGCTGATACGAAGGACGAGAAATAAAAGGGGTACGGTGAAGTTTCAGCGGAAAGAAAGGATTCGTGGAAGTGAAAGAAATAGATCGGGAGTAAACTGATGTTAGGTGTAGTCCACTATATTGTACTATGCGTCTCCTAGCTAAATTTTTATGTTTTCTAATTCGTTGTGAACGAATGTTTTTTGGTATAAATATATAAATAAATGAATCTATATATATATATTTAAATTATAGGGTATATTAATTGTAAGTGGTAAGCCAATCAACGAGTTGCGTGGCGGCCGATACATTGTCTCGCGCCGCGTATCGACGAAACTTTCGATGACCTTTTGAATGTTGGCGCGTAATCGATCAGACAATCGAGGTCTACGTAACCAGGAGAATGCATTCTTGAACTTCTAACAGCGGTACTTCGATCATCGACCCGTAAAAAGAACCTTCGAATAGAGTTACTTTAGAAAAGAAAGTCGAACTTCAACCATTTGAAACTCTTCTTTCATGGTTTTTTATTAATAGATCGTTGTCTGTTATCGTTTCATTAACTCTTCAATGGACTAATTTTATTTTAATATTTAGATAGGAAGAAAGAAAAAATTTTATTAATATTTTGCGTACTTCTCCTTTTGAGATTAAACAAAGTCTTTTATTTTCTTTTGGTTCGATTCAATATTGCTTAATAATATTATTATATGTGCAAATTAATTTTGTGCTTTTTTTCTTTTTTAATTGAAGATTTATTTTTGAAAAATTATAGTAACTTCTATTATTGAATTTATCGTCATCGTTTTCATATTTTCGCGCCATTTGAAATTTAGAAAGGCGCGGGGAAATATTTAAATTTAAAATAGGAAATAATAGTGTATGCTAAAAATACCAAATTAATTTGTGCATATAATAATTTGCTATAAGTTAAACGTATTCATTTATTAGTTTCATTCGTACACAAATTAACAGATCGAGCAAACATTTAGAAAAAAACAGATCATCAAAATTACTTGTAAGACGAAAATCTTTTTCCGATCGATCATCGAGTTCTGCGTCGAAGAATATTAGCCACGTAACAAATTTCATGATATACATGTAAGATATATAACTGGTTGCCGTTTCGAGGACGTCATCCTGAAAGCCATCCAATCGCGATTCAAAAGGGATCGATCCGCGCGCAAAAAAGAAAGAAGAATAAAAAAAAAAAAGAAAAAACGAAATGGTCAATCCACTTCTGCCGTCGATTTGTTTAAAACACGTAACTGTCCTTCCGTAAAGGAGCTCACTGCCGCCACGAGAAGAAAGGAAGCAGAGGAAACGATAGTAAGGAAACGTGGAAATGATCGACTTATTGTATGTAGGCGCGCGTACATTCGTATACATATACACGTCCGTCTCGGGTATCTGTATACGTCGATACACCGTGTTAATTACGTATTCGACGAATTGCCATACACAAGTACCTCATGATACAAAACACATGTACAAATGTTCATACGTTTTCAGAATATTAGCTAATTAATAAATAATTAATATCCAGATATTAGGACATTCACATGGATCTTCCCGTCCCGTATCATTCTCCTGTTAGATTCGAAAGAAAATTTCAACCCGTCGCTTCTTAGTATTTAGGTAAGTTTTATAGAAAATTTAAAATTTTTTTAAATTATTAAATTATTTATGTATCTTATCAGTATTTTTGTATTCTTTAACTCCAATTCAAAATAGATACCTAATTAAGAGTTAATTCTAGTATATCAATATTTATATTTGGTACGATAGAAGAATAGGAAACTTACTTTATTCTAAGGAAACATTTTTTTTATTAGAACTAACAGCAAAACGCGTTCTACGATTATCAGGAAAATGATTCTTCAGACGTCAAGAATTGAAGGTAAGTAATTTACCATTATGACACAGAAAATAGCTTTTTCAAGCATTACAATATTTACATACGAAGAATCCTATAAATAAAAATAATAAACCGTATGAAATGTATAGTCATTAGTGCCTTAGAATCAAAATCAATTTTCTCGTAATCGAAGTCTTATACAAAAAAATTTGATTTTACATTTTCAACTTATTTTTCCAGGATAAATTAGTATCAGCAGTTGCAAGGTAAAAATCCTACACGATTTCTTCGCTTCCGATCGATTCTGTTGCATAGCATTTTAAACTCGTTTTCCAAATGCGCGTTAACTTCGATGAAAAAGAGAAAAAAAAGTAAGGAAAAGAAGCAGTAAGTTAACCCCTTGTTGTTTGCCGCCTCTCTTCTCGCATCCTGTGATAAATAGCAAGATTACGAGTCTACGTGTCGGCCAATGAACGATGCCCTCGGCCCGCGGACCATATGTTCCTTCAAGGCTGTGAGACCCTTCGGTTGAACTTGGCCCGCGTTTAACAACGCTCTGCTCCGAGACTTTTAACAATTCCTGGTGATTATCCGATGAAATATATAAAAGGTATTTTTCACGCGAAACCAGATTAAAAGGGAGAAAGGCGAACGATTGCCGTTCATATTTCAGTATCGCTAAAAGGATCCAAGGGAATCCTCGCATACATTTGTGTTTATTAACTCCGCCAGAAGCGGCAGCAAAAGTTTTACGAGCAGGGAAGAAACAACGAACGATTATGAAAGGAATACGGATACTATTGTGCCTGAGAGTAATTTTATTGCTAAGTTTCACGCTGCCAGCGATCTTGCCTCCCCTTTTACGCGGGAGTTATTTTTAAATTACGGAGAAAACCCCCTGCTTTTGATCTACGATACAGTCTTCTTTACTTGGGGTAATGCTGAGATACGATTGCCTGGGTAATGGAATTTTTTTATAATAGAATGAATGTGTTTTATTATTATTTTTTTTCTTTATGAAATTCTAGATAGAAGATGAAATGATTTATGGAGCGATAAATATTTTTCGTGTCGAATTTAGTACATAAATCAATATCTGAGGTATTTCGTTTGATGTCTATTGAATAGGGATGGGAAAAAAAATGTACACTTCAGAGTACTGTTGGTATCGATGGACAGAAGCTTCTCTATTATTCTTCCAATTATTTGTAATCAGACCAAGGACATGGTATAATAATAAGTCGAGGGATCCTTGATTCATCCTCTGTTATAGGAGTATCATTAGAGAAATTCGGCAAGGTCCTCCGTGTAGAAACTTTCTTTGTATACAACCTACCTCAATCTTGTTTGGGCTTTTAATAGCAGTAGACTTCTATCTAATGGAATAGTTCTTTAACTTTGACGATTCACTCTGGGTGGTTAATCCAATATATGTTTGTATAATTTCAACTATAATCGCAATTTTTATATTTTGGATAATAATTTAATTTATGCTATAAACGTATAAATGTACATAGTCTAATAATACTTTTTACTGGAATTATAAGAATATGAAAAATTGAAGCTTGAAAAGTAAATAGGAAAATAAATAGAAATTTTCAATTAACTCGGTCCTAGCGATAGAAAAGTCAGATAACTCCAGTCAGCGTTCCATTCACGGCTCACCTAAACCCTCGTAGTTTCTGGGGTTGATTTTGTACGGCGATGCGCACCCGACAGATTTTTCCCACAGCGAAGACAGCTGTCGTAATGAGTTGCATCCTCACGTCTCTCTTCTTTTCCATTTCTCCCGTTTTTATCTATTCGCTTAGCTTCTTTCACGTAACCAGATTTTTTTCCGAAAGACGATGCACGTTCTACGTGACAATGCAGCTACCCTCTTGCTTTATCGTGCCACCAGCCTCGGGG